AGAAGTACCATGAGTTGAAGAAAATACAACCCATAAATGAGAGAGAACACTGAAAACATATTAATCCATCCGAAATGAGACATTGAAGTATGTTCAAATCAGTTTTTTGTCAATATATATGAAGTGTTCATTGTGTTCATCAAGAGGTTAAACTTGTCATGGCTTGTTAATGTGTCTGATGCTATTGTTGTTGCTCTAGCTGAAGGTTGCAAGAATCTGGATGCTCTCAATTTAGCTGGCTGTGAATTTGTCACTGGTGAAGGCGTCCGTACTTTGACAAAGCATGGGTCATTGAAAGAGCTCATTTTGACTAGTTGTGAAAAGCTTAGTGGATATGATTTGGAAGAGTTGGTACTAGGATGTCAAACATTAGAATACATTGTGGTTGACAGAAGATTAAGGATGTGGGTACCTATGGAAGTGCAGGATAATATCATGAGAGAACACTGTTGGATAGATTGGAAATAACAGGTGAAAGGGGAGTTGAATGTCTCGTTTCGGATGGATTAATATGTTTCCACAGTGTTCTCTCTCATTTATGGGTTGTATTTTCTTCAACTCATGGTACTTCTAATGGAGAAAAGGAGTGACAATGGGTAAATGGGAATGGGTAATAGGGCATTGAATTAACCGGGTTATTCTAGAGGGGTCGGGTCATTGGGTTAAAATAGGTAATAGGGTTTTTTGTAAAATTCGGGTAATTTGGGTCAATTTTGGGGATTTCCATTTAATGAGGGGTAATTTTGGTGAAATTAGTAACGGAAGGGGTAAAATTGACTTCATTTTAACGGCGAGGGTAAAGTCAAACAATAAACCAAAGTTGAGGGGTATTTTTGACCCTTTTCCCATTTAAAAAATACTAAATCATGCTAAAAATAAGTTTAATAAGTATTAGTTACATTAATAAATATTTAAGAAAATTAAAATTAGATTATGTATTTTAATTGTCTAAACTAATGTAAAACTAAAGAATAAATATTCAAGATTATTGTCATTCTTAGTGTTGAATTGATTTTCTTTTTGTCATTAGTATTAATTTGATTTTGATTTAAGTTTTATTATAATTATCAACATCTATGAACTATAATCTTTATTGGATCATTCCGAATTTCTAAGTTTTAAACTTGAAATAATATATTAAAAGATAAAAACTATGAAATAGTATAAGAAATATTTTAAAATTATATCAAAGTACATATTTTTATGTATAAAATAAAATTTTAAAATTACATATATAATGTCGGGTTGGTTTGGTCTTGGGTTGGTTTTTTTAGTTTAAATCAAACCAACCCAAATATAGTCGGGTTTTTTTCTGGTTTGACTCGATTTGTGGTTTGTTTCGGTTTTCGGTTCGATTTTATACACCCCTAATTGCAGTAATGAGAGAATGCTAAGGTTGTATAGCTTGCTAAAAATAACTTTAACGAACAAAAGATGATATCCTGATAGAGAGCCTAACAATCGCATAGGTGACGTTTCTTGGAAGATAATTCATATAATGAAACAACTTTTGAAGAGATTTTCTCTCGATATTTTTTCAATGTACAATGATAATCCATGCTTTTCTTAGTACCTTTATGATTTTGATAGACCTTTTCAAAAGTGCCATTTCAACGGTTGATAAGTGCAGGATGAATCACTTAGTACGATATTTTATGTTGATAAAAGTACGAGTGAGGAAATGGCATCATACTCATCTGATGCTCCCGAAAATCATGGTATGTTCTTATTGTCTGCATCATTCTTTTACACCAAATAATTCGACATTATATGGTTTGCTTACTTAGCTTGTTTTAAAAATTTCAGATATCTTAGATGGACGATTATCAAATCGCCACTTTAACCACTGGGGAATGGTAATGATAGCTCCTTCTTGCACATGCTTGTTTTCATCAACTGTTTTGTGTCAATTTGGTTGCAACATGTGGTGCTAAAAGGAACTCAATGTGCTCAATTATTTTGGTCATTGTTTGCATTAATAAACGACATCTCCATAGAGTTGTTGCTTGTCAACATTGGCTTATCAAAGAAAAAATAAGGAATTGTTTATTGGTTTATTCTTAATGATGAAAGGATCCTATATTGGTTTGAGAAAGAATTAAATTTTTGATGTATCATTAGATTGCATCAATGGTTTTTGGCCTTTATTAACTTTGTGCCCTCCTCAACTCCTCTCTAAAGGAGTGTAACTTGACTATTGGGTATAGTATTCATAAGTAGTTTTTTTTTCACTGTCCCTTGATTTGATTTAATACGTTGTCTTGCTTTCTCTCTCTCACACATGTTCTCCATAGTAATTTTTTAAATGTGGCTATGGATTTTTATTGGTTTAGTGCTTTCTATTTCGAAATGTTTAATCTCTTATTCTCTTTTTGAAATAGGGAAGCAGCTCTTTGAAAAGTACAAAGCAGCGAAATATTTCTGGCCATAGACAATATTTTCAATATCCTTATGTGACTTATCTGTTCATGGTACAAACTACAAAGTACGAACACTGGTAGAAAAGTGATACATTGTGTTAATCATGTAGCATAAGATGGTGGATGGTTAGTAATGAGCCAATGACACATACTCTTGGGTTTGATTTTGCAAATGTATTAAAGGAAGCAATAGAAAAGTAGTCATTTCAGTAATAGGCAAGTGCAATATATATGGTGTCAAAAAATATGAAAAATCGATTGAGCAATCGAACCAAATCTTATCGAACCGATTTAATAAATTGTGGATTTTTGTTCAGGTGTACCGTGTCAAACAATTTGGATGACCTTTTTAATTTATAAAAGAAAATCGAAAAACTTTCGAACAGAACATTCTTAGTATGCAAATATATTTATATATAAACAATTTATTATATTTCATATAAATATATTTTCTAACATTTTTCAAATATAAATATATCCTAAATCTTTGGTGACGATTTTGGGCCTGGGCCTTTGTCCTTTAATTGTGAAGTAAAATTAAACACAAATAAATGACATCATAATTCACATTGTTGGGCTCGTGCATAGCACGGGCAATATTCATCTAGTCACAATACAAGTAATAATGACTTGTTTTTATTATAATTTTAAAAATATATATATAAAATTTCGTACACGTCATTAAACACAAATAAATAACGTGTGCTCTGATTTGTTTGTGAAGTCACTGGAACGTGAGTATGTTTATTTATTGGCTTAAGTCATCTACAGTGCTAAAATGTCCAACTGATTATACTGTTTTAAATGATTTAGAGGTAAATGCTTCTTTAAATGACTTGCTTTAGAAAACTTCTGAATAACATTTACCTCTAAATCATTTAAAATGATATAATCAGTTAGACATTTTAACAGTGTCTGATTGCCGAGCATGTTCATCAGACCGATCAACAATGATTGTTGGTGCTTTAGGTGTAACATCTACATCATCAACCTGAAAAAAAATGAATTTTAATTAGGTCTTTACAAAAAAGAAAAATTCAAACTATTAATACTATTACCAAACCTTCTCATATGTTTTTTTGTTGTTGATCGATTCCAACACCAAATTGAAATTTCCTTAAATCACTATTACCAAACCGCTCCTCCATCTGATATTGGATGATTATAATTTTTGATTTGTGTTAATTATACGTACAAAGTAATAATTGAATAAAAATTACTCTAAAGACTTCATATCAATGTTTTGAATTCATCACGCGAAATATTGAAATCATTTGACTTGCAACATGATGGTACACCAGAAGTGACAATAACTAGGTTTTTCCAGCTCAATATTTTACTCAATTCCTTGATAAGCAGCAGCATTAGCCCGTTGTTTCGCTTGACACTTCAGAGGTGGCAACTTCACTTTTTTGGGAACAGTTACAAGTCGTGGAGATTTCCTTAAAATAGGTTGTTTTGCAATAACCTTGGGTTGTGTCTTCATCTGATCGAGTATGAATGTCTTAATTTCTTCATAGGAGCTGACAAACCACTTTCAACTTTTTCTTTCCCTTTGTTATTGGACATGGTTCATCTGAATCAATTGCAGCTGCTATATGTTTTGAAGTTGCATCTGGTTCAACAGGCAAATCAAGAATCAAATTTTCCATTATTGGAGTTGCACTTATATTCTGAAAAATAAGCTGCAAAATATACACGTGTTCGTTCATCTTCACATATACATTTATAAACTTGAGCAACTGTATGATTATGCAATTGTATAAATATATAAACAGTCATTTGTATAATTTATAATTGATATAGATGTCTACAAAACAGTAATGCATACCGGATTATTGTCGTCTCGAAACATGCCCTTCGTGAAGTAATCTAGACGACGGAAATCCTTTTTCGTCTTCTAGGAATGTGGTCAGACACTTTAACATCAATTTCATTATCAAAGTCCGAACAACATTCATAAAACCAAACTTGAAAAGCAAGTGGAAAATCATATAATTAACCTGTAATACTTTCCATCATGTTTAACCTTGGTATGCAAATGTTGAATCAGTAAATCAAAAGGACATATAATTAACCTGTAATACTTTCCATCATGTTTAACCTTGGTATGCAAATGTTGAATCAGTAAATCAAAAGCCTTTTTACTCCATGGGTAGTCCATATATCTGTCCGATTCAACTAAATCAAAATCTTTCCATCAATTATTGTAGTTGTTGGTTCTTCAGAAAGAATAAATGTATGAATGAAGAACAAAACAACAAACTTCCGCGCATCATCATTGTTATCACCCCACACTTTGTTATTAAAATTATCAACTAACTGTTTCTTAGTGATGGGTTTTCCAGCATCAAAATACTGAAGAATAATCCTATTTGGTTCTTCGGTATTAAACACAAAATTGGACTCATTATCTGAACATTTTAGCCAAGATATAATAGCAAAGTCCCTTACGGTGAAACGAAGAGTTGTGCCATTTACATGTATCATAATGGCATCTTCTGAACTATCCACAATCTCCCTAAAAAACATGCACCTAATAAGCTGTGCTTGTACATGACATCTACAAATGCTAGTTAATTGAGAAAAACACATGGTTCCACTGAGTTTCAAATAGTTTTCCAACTAAAACATTCATTACTTCAACATTTGTATAACACTGCATGTGAGGTGTACGTGTTAGTTTGGTGTTCTTTAGTCTAAAAATTTAACACCTGAAAACAGATAATATAATCCAATTTAACTTTGACTTTCGAAAAAAGTAACATGACAATTAAAAGTGGATTGTTGGAGTAATACTTGTTCAGTTTATAAAAATTAATAAATAATTTATTATTTAATGTCTATTTTACCCATGCTATTATATACTATTCACTTTTTAATGTTTAAATGACTTATATTTAATGAGGATGATTTAGTAAAATTATCTCTATCATTTACTGCTTCTTATTTTACATGTCAAGTCAATAATAAACAATTATTATTGAATTAGCACATAAAATCTAATCCTTGTTTTCAGAGGCGTATCTAGAGGGGGTGCCGTGGGTTCACGTGAACCCATGCTCCCCTCTCTAGATCATATATAGTAGTGTTATATTTTTTTAAAAATATTTAAATATAGATGTGTGAACCCATGTTCAAAGTATCATATAATAATAAGATGATGATTAGGTGCACCTCTCTAACTGAGGATAAAAATTTAAATCTTATATCTATCTTGTCTTTTTGAGTAACACCACTCCAAGTGGTTATCGGTGACACTTTTGACGTTTCAACTAATTTTTCTTTTGTATTTTTGCCTTTAATCTTTCAAAATTTTCAAGTGTCTTACATTGAAAATTCCTAAAAAATTAAGCACTGTAAATTTTTTATATAATTAAATCAATTGTGTATATTAAAATTTAAAACTAATAGTATTATATATTTTGAATCTATAGTTTTTAAAATTTAATGGTTCATATTTAGAACCTAAAAGTCAAATGATCAAATTTATATTTAAGATACATTTCTTCGTAATCGTGTACCCATTTAACCGAAATCCTGGATACGCCTCTGCCTGAAAAGGAATACAGATACAGTTTTACTTAAATATTAATGTATAAAAGCAAAAGGCTTGTTATAACTAATACTTTTTATACAAAACTTACATACTGTCTATAACTTAACACATGTACAAATATAAAATTGTATAAGATCAAAAAAAATTAATTGCTATAAAACACCTATCTGTATAAACACACGTATAAAGAGAACAACTTTCATGCTTTATAAACATTTTTTTATTTATAGATATGTAAGCTATTATATATTATACAGAAAATTTCAATTGTATTATTGATTAAATTGTATATATAGTGATCACTTATATTACCTATTGTTATTTATACAATAACTTTGTATATGAAACCTAATTGCTATAAATATACCGATCCGTATAAACAAACATATAAATTACATACAATAACTAACTATAAGACTTATTATACAATTATAAACCATGCAAAATACCTGAACTTCTTCATGTTCGTCTTGCTACAATTCGGCAGAAATAACCTCTTCGATTGATTCTACCTGTTCATCGGAAAGATCAATTTCTTTTCCTTTCCTCTTCTTTGTCGAACTAGCATCGCCCTGATGCTTAATACCTCCCTCAACAATCATTACACCAATTTGCTTTGCTTTTCCACTGATTCCTTTCGATCTAAATGGGTCATTCTTATATTTGGATCCTAACCTCTCCAGTTGCTTTAGATCTAGCTATTGAACCTGCAACCTCCCCAAATTCCTGAGTTAGACCCAAAGAAAAGGATGGTTTTTCATCAAATTTTTGTCAATCTTGTTGCTGGAGTGTAATCATCCATTGTATACGTTCAACAACTGTATGAATGATTATTTGATGAGAAATATCATGAAAAAACTTTAACAATTGAAAAAAAGAAGCTTAAAATCAAATCGGTTATACACTTTTTGGCGGTACCTGAAATTTTTGAATCCACGGTTGATTGAGAGCGCAATGGAGAATATTTGAAATTCAAAACTGTTTTCATGGAGAGATTGTAGGAGAAGTTGAAGGGTCTAAGAGAGAGAAAGAAAAAGAGGTGAGTTGTATAAATAACTTCCGTTTTTTTCAAATTAATTTTTTTGTGGGACCCAATCATAGCAAGAAAAATGAAACTGTAGCTACTATGATGAATTAAATTAAAGGGAAAATGGTCTGAAAAATATTTAACTTTGGCCAAAATTATTGTTACGATATCAAACTTTATGGATGATCTTTTACTCCCTGCACTATTTAATAGTGTATTTTTAAAGGTATATATGTGCATACGTGGACACATTACTATTTATAATGATGCAATATTTATGATGTCCACGTGAATACATATATACATTTAAAATACATTATTAAATAGTGCGAGAGGGGGGTAAAATGTCCTTTCCAAAGTTCGATATTGTTACAATAATTTCAGTCAAAATTCAGATATATTTCAGACATTTTTCCTAAATTAAACTATAGCTATATATTTATTTTAAATAAAAAGTTTGTCATTTCCCAAGTATCCTAAATATCATAGATAATTAGTTTCTTTCTTTAAAAATAAAATCACTCGTCAGTACTCTATAATACACAAATGGTATATATATCAAACAATGATGATATCATTAAAAGACAAAAATTATTCCTACAGAAAGAAAACATTTGGTCTTCTATGATACCAACCTGCTACATACTCCCTCCGTTCCTATTTAGTTGTCCATATTTCCTTTTTTAGTTGTCCCTATTTAGTTGTCTATTTTGACAAATCAAGAAAGGACAACAAATTTTTTCCTATTATACCCTTATTTACACTTCTTGAAAATTGTAAAAGTGTATGTTGTTTCCCTCCAATTTATTTCACTTGAATTTAAAGAAGTGGTTGTAATTTTAAAGTGAAAAGTTGTCATAAGGGTAAAATTGTAACTTCACTGTGCTAATCATTGTTGCCTTAATCTGTGTGTCATTTCTAAAGTGAACAACTAAAAAGGGACAGAGGGAGTATTATATACTGACAAGTTATTGTAGATGTCAGATTAATTCCTTTAAAATATCACTCAGTCATCTATGAGGTTGAGGGGAATCATAGATGACTGAGTAGTATTTTTGTACCAATTCGAAAATAATCCGATTAAGAGCACAAATAATAGTTAAGAAACCTTGACCACCTAAAACAAGAATCAAGTTCTTGTTGAATTAGCAAAGATAAAAAATGCAACAAACTAAACTGAGATTTTATCGTGGAAAAACTCCTTGCTCAAGAGAAGAAAAATCATGACCTACACCTCGTAGAATTTTCACCAAAACTTCACCAACTCAAAGAACAACTTTAGATTACAACTCTATAATCAAAGGGACTAACTCTAGCACCTCACCTCAATAGTTCACTCAAACTGTTCAATGATTAGCTATAATCGTATACTCTACTCTCCAAAAAGCCAAACCCACTTCTTGTTACAAAAACCTCACAAACACACTTTGACACTTGGGACAATTGTCCCTAAACAATGGTTCTAAGTTGAAACAACACAAACTAAGCTTTAGATCTTCTTTCTTCTGTCATCTTGCTCTTCAGCACCATACTTGCTCTAGCTGCAAAGGTTCTCTCAATTTCTGAATTTGCAAAAGTTGTGGTTCTTTGCATAGATTAAACCCTTGTTGAATCCTACAAAAAAAATAGTTGTTTTAACTTAATTAGCTTTCTTTTTCTTATAAGGAGTCTTTTGCCTTTAATAAGACTTTCTTCTTTCCGGCTCTTTTGTTTGAGGTTTGGTACAAGCCTATGAACCTGGTTCACTTTGTCATTATCAAAATTTACTCAGAATATTGTCATGTCATCAAATAGCAATTGAACAAAGTCTAAATCATATTCTTCGTGGGATCTACTCTAACTTTCGTTAGATTCTATATTTGAACAACAACCGCTTTATACTTCTTTTAATAAGTGTAATTTGGGGTATCAATATTCATACCAGATCTGAAATTGATCCAGATGATCAAGCCTTTGTAGCTTGTTTTGTTTGATTTTCATTGTCGTCATCCTTGTTTTCCTGATCTTGCTTCCTATCATTGTTCATTCTTGTGTCCTTGTTTGATGGTTTTCTCATTATCTTTTGCATTTTTCTTGCTTCTTCCGATAACCTACGTAAAACCATCCTCATCTTGATTGTTGCTAATCTGAGTAGTATCACTTCTCTTACATTAATTCTCCAAGTGACCTTACAGATGACAATAAGAGCAGTACTATGACAGGACAAATTTCAGCCACACTCCATCTTCTCCCCCGTCAAGTCTGTTGAATCCCAACCAAAGTTGATCAAGTTTTGGTTTTGGCAGGTTAATCTCTACTTTAATTCTGGCCACATTGCCCCTAGATTTTGAGTATGTAACTTGGTCAGGGCAAACTACAGTTCCAATTAAACTGATCACCATTTTTGCGATAACATCCCACAGAAAAAGATGCCATGGCAATTGATGTATGAGCACCCAAACAACCACAATAGAAGTTTCTTTCGTAGGGGTGAAGTCAGCTGTCCGTTTTAAGATCTTCACCAATATGCACAAAGATCTTGGATTGTATGTGAATGTAATCCACTTCATTGTGAAATAAGTAAACATGACAAGGATCAAAGTATGTATGCTATTTTAACAGAGCCTTTTAAGACAAACTGACTGACAAATTTCTTTCTTATATCCTTCATAGAAGGGTTGCTTCTAACAAATTATCCAATCAAGGTAAACTTACAATCTTGAGCCAAATTAACAAAATAGTCTTTTGCTGAGAAAAAGACTGCAGGCCTGCCTAGATGAAATTTTCTCTTTACTTCTACATGGGGCTTGAAACAAGAGGATTATTCATTATCAATGAGGAGGTTTTAACGCGACAACCTAACAATCTTTAATACAATAATAGATTTACATTTTTCTCTATGAACATAAATGGACTTCAAATCCATCATCATACTTATATTGATGATATTGTTATGTTTTGTAGGGGTAGTGCAAGATCTAGTGAGGTTGTTATGAAGCAGATTAATTTTGTATGTGAGAAGATTTGATCATTAGGTTAATGGGAGATAATAGTATTTCTTTTGTTAATCTACTAAAACTTTGAATTACACGATCAACAAGATGAGGCAAGCTACAAGTTTTTCGGATAAAGGTTTCCCATTCAACTACTTAGTTTAGGAACAACAAAAGATAAGATTACTTTGATGGACTGATCACTAAAATTGTTAACAAGCTTAGCGGTTGGAATCATGGCATGGTAAACTTCTGTCATATGGAGTAAAACTAAATCTCATTAAACAAGTTTTACATGTTGTGCCAGTGTACACCTTGACAACTATGGATCCTTTAGAGGAAACCATCGAACTCATTAAGAAACACTTGGCAAGGTAATTTGAGGGTTCCTCTACTAAAAAGGGTAAGTATCATATATACTATCATTGGAGCTCATCAAAAAACTTGTGCAAACCTGAAAAGAGTGGTATTGGCATTGGAGTATTACAAGACATAAGTGATACATTTGCCACTAAAAGATGGTGGAACTTGAGGACTAAACATTTCATCTATGTTGCTTTTTACAAGTTAAAAACTACGACATAGTACATCTAATGTCTAGGAAAAGGGGAGATGGACAATCTCATGATTGGAGGAAGTTGAAGAGTATAAAATTGAAGGTTGAATTCAATATTAGTTGAAATTTAGAAAAGGGTGATTATAGCTTTTGATAGAATGATTGAACGGGTAATGAATCTATTCTATCTTAGTTACCTCAGCTCCGATCCAAAGTCCAATATGATCATCAAAGTTAGTGACTTCATTGAAGGAAAGAGTAGAAAGATGAAGAAATTGAATATCATCGTACCAGAAAGTACTATTAATGTCATCATTTTAGTGAACATAACAAAAGACGTCTAAAAAACTCTATAGGCAGTAATTTTTTTAATAAGAATGTGTGACAAATCATCACGACTCCCTACCCTAGAATGAGCTTTATAAACCATATGTAGAATAGAAAATTTTCATTTTATATATCATTCCTCTCTTAGAGATTGTTGAAAAAGAAATTACCTTCTAATGAAATTCTGACTGAATTTGGTAAACAAGTGTTAACTATGTGTAAATGTTACGAGTCAATGCACTTTGTAGAATTGGTGGAGGATTAAACCTCTCAATGGGATACAAAACTTTCTACTACACATAACTCTTATCATGGTCAACTTGGAGAAATATGGAAAAATACATGTCTTGTAGATATGAAGACCAAAGAAAATATTGGGGAAAAAGATGAAACATCTTTTTTTTTTTAAATTAAATAGCGCAATTGATAATTCAATTCGTCAATGCACTCATCACAATCAATATAGAGATAGAGGATTCCTTACTTATACTAGTAAGGCTGATATATTTGGATTAACCAGAGATAATGTTGACATTTGTTGAAGTTTAAAGTTCAATAATATTTAACATATATGATTGTCAAAAGAGATAACATAAATTATGAACTCACAGTCACAATTGTCGTAACATCCATGGATCATATCACTTTATAAGGAGCGGCTAACCAAATTATGAACATCTTAGCTAAAGATAAGTTGATCCACAGCTTTTAATCTTGATTGCAGCTCATTTGTTTGACCGCATGAACTTTCACCTTATTGGTGCCAACTTTCTAATCACCCTCTAGGGGAATCTTAATAGTTCATTTCTATGAAATTAGAAGACGCCCAAAACAAATAAATAAAAAAACAAACTATTTGTTGTCAATGATCATATCTTGGATCTAGGTCATCCCAATACCGTCATCATCCTAATTAAAATTGCACGATATTTTGCACAAACAACTTTATATATTTTAGTTAAGCACGATATTTTGTACAAATAACTTTTATATTTTAGTTAAGCAGAAGACGCCAAAAACAAATAAGGAAAATAACCAAATTAATTGTTATCAATGACCATATCCTGAGCTTCATCATCATCTCCGCCATCTCTAGCTTCAGATACATCGCCATCTCTAGCTTCTGATACATCGTCATCTCTAGCTTTAGATTCATCGTCATCTCTAGCTTCAGATACATCGTCATCTCTAGCTTCTGATTCATCGCCATTTCTAGCTTCGGATACATTGCCATTTCCATCTTCGGATACATCGCCATTCCCAGAAGCTTCCGGTACATCACCATTTCCAGCTTCAGACCCATCGCCATCTCCAGTTGCAGATACATCAAAATGTCTAAGCATTCTAATAGTTACAAACCTATTCTCGGAAAGTCTATTCAATTCTGTTATCGATACTGCTAGATCTGTAGTTTCTGCTATAATGGCAACATGAAAAACAAATATCACTCTAGCTTCCTGCATATCACTGCCACCATCATCACCTAATTCATCTTCATCACTTTCTTCATATGTCTTCTCACATTGTTCATTTACTGGCATTTTATACCTACAAATCGGACACGATCCATTGATCCCCAACCACTTGTCAATACAAATCGAATGAAAATGATGTTTACAAGGCATCTCCTTAGCTTCCTCGCCAAGTTCAAAATTGGACAAGCAAACAGAGCAATCAATCCCTTGACCTAAAATCTTAACCATCGGTATCGCTTCAATGGAAGCCATTGATGCAGGTAATTGCCCTTCCAAAATAGGTTCTGCATTGATAGGATGACCTTCGAGGAAGGAGATTGAGTTGTTTGTTGCGTCCACCACTGTCACAATATTACGTTCATCTTCCGGTGGTGGAATAGACCGGACGAATCGAAGTATATGATTATAAATCATTGATCTGACTTCAGTTTGGGTTAGGCCTTCGAGAGATGGAATTAACACCGATGCCACCTCCATATCTGGACCTATAGTTTACTGAATGTTGACGAGAGAGACAGAGGTCATTTTTTTTATTGAAGCACGGTGCTTGATTTATAGGGTTTATTGTTAGCTTTATGAGGAAGATTCTAGAGCTTAGGACTGGGCCCACATTGAGGCTCGATTTGGTCGTATTTGCACTGCACGTTCATTTAAAGGGTAAATGCATAAACATTTGCACTTGATTTGGTCTCTTATTTAGTATTTTCTATATTTGTACTAATCTAAAAATAATCACCTAATATATTTATTTTTATATTTTAAAAAGGAAAAGAAAAACAAAAGAGGAAAAGAACAATTAGTAAAAGAAGACTAAAAAAGAAAATGGAAGAAACACTTATCACCTATACGCTCCACGTGACTTCACTAAAAAATCATGGCACATATGTTTTAGTGAGGTCACAATGAAGTAAAAAGAAAGACTTTCATGGTATCTCAAGTAGGACTATCAAAATAAATCCAAGGGAAAAAGGACGAATTTACCCCCGAACTTTGATAAATGGTACGTTTATGCCCTCCGTTATACTTTGGGTCCATCTCAGCCCCTGCCGTCCAATTATCGGTACACACATGCCCCTCTTACTAACAGCCCCCTCATCTTGTACACGTGTCGTAATCCTAATCAACTATCCGTTTGACCATTATTTTTAACCCATAAACTAACAACCCGCCCTATAAACCCATACCCACCCGATTCCCTCTAAAATATCCTAAGTCAATTAAAAGACCCAAATCTTCCGAGTCTCGTTCCTATCTCACAATTCCTTGTACTGTAATCTGTTTAGTCTATGGAAGAATTCTCTTCATTTCATCATCACCATCTCTTATTTCTTCCGTTACTTCTTTTTCAATCTCCATTAATTCTACACCAACTCTACTCATTTCTCTCTATCAATTTTCAATTCAATCACTACAAAATCAAAAACACAAAAAATTTGAGAGTTGAAAAATGAGAATTGAGTGGAATAATTCAAATTTTGGAGGTAGAGATAGCCGAGATTTCTTTGCCGGATGTGGACTCTCTACCTCATTCTCGCCGGAACCAAATCTAGGACAGAATTCCGGCAACACCGGAATGTTCAAGTCAAAATCAGGGTGGTTGATTGTAGACCCCACGTCCTCCTCCGACGTAACTCTGACACTAGTGCTAACGCTACTGTTAGCGTTATCGCCGTTGTAGCGACACCGTTTGTGTCCTCCCAAAGCTTGTCCAGTAGGAAAACACTTATGGCAAATCAAACCCTCGTGAGTCCTTCCACTGCCATTACCGTTACCGGAGCTAGTAGTTCCGGTAGCGTTAGTAGTAGTTGAGGTAGTCGACTAATCATCTCCTTCGCCGCCACCGGCGATGAGTTTCTGATGACTAGCTTTATGTCCTCCTAAAGCTTGATAAAATCCAAATCCCTTACCACAAACCGAACACTTATACAACATCTTCTCCTCAATCTTCTTCGACGACGTGTGAATTTTCATCACTAACACCGACGGTGGTAGAGATCGTACCTGACTAACAGAGCCATCGCTCAGCGCAAGCATAATCAAACAAAGCGCCAAATATTCCTGTTCAGTCGACTGGCGATCCATACTCCGTGACCTCTTAGATCTCTCCCCTTTAGTCCAATTCTCAAGGTACCGAAGCTGCTGCTGACCTTTGCTCTCAAATTGAAATGTCTACGGATTTGAAGTACCTGTTGGAGGAATTCAAAGCTTCAAGGGCCATCTCAATTTTAGAGTGAATCGGGTGGGTATGGGTTTATGGGGCGGGTGGTTAGTTTATAGGTTAAAAATAATGGTCAAATGGGTAGTTAATTAGGATTACGACACGTGTAAAGGATGAGAGGGCCATTAGTGAGAGGGGGCATGTGTGTACCGATAATTGGACGGCAGAGGCTGAGATAGACCCAAAGTATAACGGAGGGCATAGACGTACCATTTATCAAAGTTCGAGGGTAAATTCGTCCTTTTTCCCTAAATCCAAATATAGATAACCTGCTTAATCCGTCCAAAATTTAATGAATTGGGCTCAAAAATGATTCTTCGATGAATTGCTCTTAAACCTTGAAACAACACCAATAAAGTATGAAATATCTAGACGAGTATGAGCCAAACAAATCAAACCTCCAACTATACTTCTAAAACTTCTTGCATTGGCAATTGCCCAGTACCATCTTCCTTCTGCAATTTTTCATTTATATTCATTGGTGTTGTGGTAGATTTACAATTGATAAGGCAAATTCTTTTAAGAAGATCTGATGCATATTTCTGTTGAGAAACAAATATTTTACCTTCTCCTTGTTTCACCTCAAGCCCAAGGAAGTAATGCAACAAACCCAAATCAGTCATCTCAAATTTATTCATTATACTAGATTTAAATTCAGCTTATTTTCTTAAGTACAAAGTAGGCTTATTTTCATTCCTTTCAAACCCATTTTGAACAAAATAGGAATTGATTTTGCTATACCAAGTGCGTGGCGCTTGTTTCAACCCATAAAGTGCCTTCCTCAGATGGTACACATTTTCCTCTTGGCTACTAATTTTGAAACCTTGAGGTTGAGCAACATAAACCTCCTCTTCTAGTTCACCATTCAAGAACGCTGACTTAACATCAAGTTGATGAAATGACCATTTCAGTTGAGCAGCCAAGGCTAAAATTGTTCTTACCGTTTCAAATTGAGAAACATAAGAAAATATCTCCTCAAAATCAATACATTTCCATCTACATGATACCTTGTTTTGAATATCCAATTCAATCCAACAACATTCTTTCCATTTGGCAAGTTAGTGAGCTGCCAGGTTTCATTTTTTTGTATTGGCATCAATTTTTCCTTCATCGCATTCTTCCACTCTTCATTTTCAATTGCTTCTTCATAAAATATAGGTTTTGAAACAATAAAAGCAAATTGACAAGATTGATTAGAATATCTAGTATTCTCTTTTCAGGTTCTTGTTGATCTTCTTAGTGGAATTGGCTCAGGTGAATGTTGTTCAAGTGTTGCAAATGTCCCTGGTTCAATGGCTTCTTTAGGTGAATTTGGAGCAGTCTCTTCTCCTTCATCTTTAGAGTCTTCTATGGGTATTGAAATCTCTTGTTGTATTTGTTTTTCACTCCAATTCCAACTTGACTTTTCATCAAACACAACAATTCTACTAATTATTACTTTGCCATTATTATACAACCTGTATGCTTTGGATTCAAGAAAATAACAGATGAAAATACATTTTTGTGATTTTTTATCTAGTTTTTGACGAGTTTAAGAGTTAACCAAAGCATAAGCAATACAACAAAAAAAAATTAAGTGGCTTACTGAAGGACTAGTTCCTTTTTAAGCTTCATATGGCATTTGATTCATCACACAACCTTTGTAGGTGATAGGTTCAGTAAGTATACTGAGGTTGCAACTACTTCTGCACAGTATTGATTTGGAAGTCCTTTGCCTTTTAGCAAACTTCTTGCTATCTCTACAACTGTACGATTCTTACATTCAGCTACACCATTTTGCTTCGATGTGTAGTGTGTAGGTCCCTATGAATTTCAGATTCTTCACAAAGATGGACAAATTCATTAGATAAGAACTCACCACTTCTGTCCGAAGAGTTTTTATGCGCAGCCCACTTTGATTCTTCACTAGTGCCTTGTATTTTCTAAAATTCTATAAGGCCTCTAATTTGTATTTTAGGAAATACACCCAACTCATGCGACTAAAATCATCTGTGATGAGGGAAAAATATCGACTTCCACCAAAAGATTTAGTACTCATTAGACAACACAAATATGCATGACTTAATTTTAGACAAGTAGTTACTCTCCAAGCCTTTCCAACAGGAAACGACTTTCTACTTTGCTTCCCATTAATGCAACCTTCGCATAAATCAAAAGTATTAATTTTTAGTAATCAAAATACCATACCTTTTTGGCTTAGCAACTTTCTCCCCTTGAAATTACGATGCTCATACCTCCAATGCAACAATCCAGAGTCATTTTTTGCACCAGTTACCAAAGTAAAATTTCCCACATTTGAAACTTCTAGCGGAAACATTTTGTTTTCAGCCGCGAGAACATTAACCATTACTCGGCCTCGGCCTCCCCCTTCACTATTTCCATGAAATGCACCTTTGCCTCATCATCTTAGATTGAAATGCTTTTTCATCCTGCTTTTCCGCTAACCTGTTTATCCTTGCCTCACGGGCTTGTAAAAAAACCCATCAATTCATCAAATGGAAATTTTGACAAATCTTTGGACTCCTCAATTGCAACCACAACATGATCAAACTTAGGAGTTAAACTCCTTAAAAAATTTCAACAACAGTTTGATCAGTTATTTGGTCTCCATGTGACCTTATTTGACTAATAATAGTCATTGCTCTAGACAAAAAAACCTTGCACATGTTCATTTCCTTTCATGATTAAAATTTCAAGCTCATGCCAAAGAGTTTGAAATTTTACAATTATTACCTTTGATGAGCCTTGAAATTATGTTTGTAAAATTCTCCGGGCTTGCCTTGAAGTGATGGTTGCTGCAATTCGGGAAAACTCTGTCTCATAGATTGCCTGTTGAAGGAAGAACAATGCCTTTGCGTCCTTCTTTCTATTTTCCTTCGGCCGCTGCTCTTCATCCGGACCGTCAAATCCAGTCTCTATCAAGTCCCAAAGACCTTGAGACTTAAATAAAGTCTTAATCTTGATGCTCCAGAATTGATAACTTTGTCCCATAAAATGGGAATGGCTGGCTGAGATATGTTCAGAGAACTTCCATTGGAAGCCATACCACAAATGTTGGAGAACAGAGATTTCAAGCTCACTCAACTAAAGATGAGAAACTTAAGGACCAAATAACAACTATTTAGTCAAAGTGCAGTAAAATACTAAAAGAAAGTTGCAGCAATTTTCCTCTTCTTTCATTTGAATCATTTATTCAATAATGATATATGTCTACCACACATCCCCATTTTTACTACCTTTTGTCATTGAACCAAAGCCATGAGAGAAAGGATTTATATCAACTATGATAAGA